GCTAATAGGGTTAGCGGTTAGGGTTAGGGTTAGGGTGGGGGTTAGGGTTAGCATGATAAATAGCGAGACATGAATCTATAACCCCAGCTGCTCAGATCATCTAATCTATTCGTCCCGAAAAATGGCCGCCAGCAGGAGTTTGAGCCCGCGAATTCCTGGTGTGACACTAATCCTTTAATGCGAAAATGTCATATTTTCTTAACGGAAAGAATTCAGTTAGTTAATTGAAATGATTTATTTTTTGTTAAGAAATTGTTTTATCCCATATATATCCACAATATAGGGTAAATTTTTCTAGTGTAAGACAATTGAGTATTTAATTAATGCCTTTCTTAAGGTGGTTCAATACAGTTTTTAAAAAAAATGGAAAATTCACGATTTTGATGAAACAAAAAGTACCTTACTTATATAACACAACATCTAAAGAGTTTGAATTTTTGCACAAAGGTTATACGCAACGGTTATGGACATCGATTCTGAGCAAACCAGAGCTTTGACAAACAAAGTGGCTGGTACGTATATTATGTATAAATCATACGGGGTGACGCAGTTTTTTATATTTGAACGAGTTTAGTGATAGCTATATGCCATTTGCAGACTTCGATGCGATATAAACTGCATCTGGACCATTAAACAAAGACGTTTCACATCGAAATCTTACCTATAAGTTGTTTCATTGCTTAGATTAACTTCATAGTACATCGACGTTTAATAAAGTACAGTATTACTCGGCGACACATCCAACTTGTTCTACCAGCCTCAAATAAATCCTCGTTCCCTGGAACAATAATTACTGGCAATCACAGCTCACCGCTATAGACATGTAAATCACATTTCACGGCACAAACGTCCATCATTTCACATTTCATGAGAACAAGTATTGGCAATTCACGGCTCACGAAAATATCCTCTACCATTACCACGTGGCCCTATTTACTGTGAATTGAATTGGCAGCTAAGCAATAAATGTTGTAATAGAAGATGATTTCATATGTATATAGCTACAAACCTCAGTGGCTTCCGAAACGAAGGTCTTACCGGTGTAGAGGCTGACGACTCCATCGCTGTTCCAAAAACATGTTGGTATAATAAGTGCTTTGAAACACAAAATATCTATATAGTCGTGTTGAGACAAAAAGACAGAAGATTAAAGACATTTGCACGCCAGTTAAGGACGTTCTTTGTGATAAATGTGAGAATTCGCGGTCCTCACAATACAATTGGTTTATAAATTTTATTTTATATTTATATATCACCATGCATGTTCCATAATCACCTATTTTTATTTAATACCCAACACACCAATTTACCTGCATGTTCTTTACCCATTAAAACGATCACATAATCTGAAAATTATATTTACAATATTGTGCCGTCATTTGTTACGTCTGTTGTTTTGTGTTGTGCAAGGTATAATATGTTTATAATTTTTTAAACCCAATGTTTCGTTTTATGTTGTGGTTCTTTATTATATTTGCGATCAAACCAAAAGCTATTCAATTTTCATTCTCATCTTCTTCTTTCACCGGTTTATTTAGGTAAATACGATTCATGCTTTTGCAACATTTGTCCATATACTTCATAAATGGCCCAGTCAAAATGCTCTTCGCTCTTTTCCCTTGCACGTCATTTCTTGTTGGTATCTTTCCAGCAGCATTGATCCAATACTCGTTATATAAATTCTCCGTCGTGTAAATATTTTGAAGAAAATCTTTTGGGTCAAAATTTCGTTTTTCAATACCTTTTTTGAAAGGCTGGAGACATCCAGGTGATAGGTTAAATAAGAAGTTCATCCAATCCAGAATATTGGGTTCCTCGCAGATTATTGCCTCAGTAATCGAGTGAAGATTGAAACGTAATTCTACTATCTTCTCAACTACTTCTGTACTGCCATCCAGTTGCTCCATCAAGTTGTACTTTGGCATGAAATACATTGGTAAATTTCTTTCCTTCAACGCAGATATCAGGTCGTCTATAAGTGATAATAGATGACCGACAATTCTTTCCTCAGTCCAGTCTCTTGGATCAGATTTCTCACAATACCATAGCAGGATCGTCTTAAGATGATAGGAACAAATGATTTTCTTGATGTTAGAGCTCCATTCATTTTTATAATGGTTAACGAACGATTTAAAAGCGCGATACGTCTTGTGCTGCAGATCACTGAGGTTTTGAATTAGGATTGTTTCTGCGTTAGAATAAGACAACCGGAAGTCGCCTTCAGAAGATCTTTTACAGACAATATGAAAACCACATTCGACGATTGCCTGAACGATATCTTGATTTGGCCAACATCTTGGTCTAGATAACCATTCTTGGGCACATAGTGGCCATCCGTCGCACTTGATTGCAAGGACAAAGTCGAATTCTGCAAGTGGAAAATGCATGATTTTTGACTGATTCGTTACTGCATTACCAGGTATTTTTGAACAAACCGCTATGGATGGTCCTTCGTCGACGTCTTCAACATCTTCGTTGGCAAGTGGCGTAAAGATTGGTCCGTAAGTAATATATTTTTCTCTAAATCGTTCTTTCAGTTTCATTGACGAAAGCTTAGTACTTCTTTCATAGCTTGCATTACTCGACGTTTCCAAGAAATCAGCCCACATCTTAATAAGGTCTTCATCTGTTAGGTACAAGTTCACAAATGCTGTATTTTCTTTAACTGTAAGGTTTCCTTTCTTTTGCTCTTCTTCAGTGACTTTGATGTTCTTTAATATAAGCATGAAATCCGTGTCTGACATTGATTCCGTCTCTAGATTTATCTTGTGCGTACCTTCATTTACGCTCCCGGAGATTAAGATGTCTTCAAGTTGAAAAGGCGCTTGGCTGTCGAAATAGTTGTTGGCTGAGTTGAAAACGTGTTCATCGTAAAGATCACCCAGGGTTTTATACATCTCCTTTCCTTCTTTTTCTGGAATTGACGGAATCAGATACCTCGCCATGATATCGGACACACGTCGACATCCTCGTGGATATCTGCAGATTTTTAAGATCGCGTTTCGGAGCCTGGTAACAATACTTGTATCCGCTTGGGCCATAACCTGTCCAACAAGCAAGTGAGAAAGCAATTAAATTTAATGTACGGAATATGGATATATATGCAGCAAGATGTTAACAGTTGTTTTCAAGGAGTTCCCCGGGAAGCGCTAGCGAGAAATTCCCGTATGATGTTGAAGGGAACGCAATATTTTACAATTTTTGAATTCAGTTTTCGCATATGACGAATTACCAAACCCGCGAAGTTGAAGTTATGAGCCAAAGCCGAAAATTGCAGAAAATCTTTCCTTTTTTACTTTCATACCTAAGATATTTCAAAACTTTCCTAGCTGGCTGTTTTCGTTGGTATTCCTTCATATTTTAAAATTTGCTCCGCTTTAACCAAAGGCAAACCATATTGTTTTGGTGGTGCTCCCACATTTCGTATTTGTATTTCCACAGTATGACGTCATAACGTTGATATGATTTTTCAATTCAACCTTATGACGTCACTCTGTTTAATTAATATAATTTCAAAAGACCATATTTGGTCTGCTATTGAGTTGATAATTCGATTTTGCAGCTGGCTGTTACCCAATCCGAAACCATGCATGATTTTTTTAAATAAATATTGTTTCTATTTCGCAAAATGCTATAGTTTTAGTGGTTGTTTTGACATTTTTAAACTGTCTTTTCAAGACGGAATAAAGCATGCGCTCTGACACGATTTAAGAACTAAATAAATCATCAATAAATCATATCTTGAAAAGTTTTCCTTTGTTCCCAGAAAATATTTTAACATGTTCTCTTGTTTCCCAAGCTTACATGTTTCCTTGTTTCCTATGATTTTCGGCGTGTTCCATTGCAAAATATGGATCGTTCACTTGTTCCTTAAAAAAGTCATGGAGACCCTCGTCAAACCACACCTGATTGACGTTTTCCTCTTTACTGACTTGATGAAAACTAGAGAACTACATATGCTTACAGGGAGAATCAACAACAATAAAACAAAATATTAAAATGACGAAAGCATGCCGCGACTACACCGACTTGAATGCATCATGCATGTTCATCAATTTTTATAATTATATATTATAGATATTTTTATAAAACTATACAATATACCTCAAAGAGTTTGATGAGTGATACTTGTTCAACGAAAACACGTATGATGATGAACTGATTCTTACAAAACTTTACCTCTCTATATAGCTGTGTAGAACAACAAATGTTGATCCCGATTTACCTATTATATACCTGTAAACTAAAGCAATATGTGCCAGACGAAAATGAAATCGGAGCACGAATCCCAATATCAAATTTCAAAATTAACTGAATATGTGCCTGGCCCTGGGTTTTAAATTTGATTTCACTTTTACTTACTTTTACTAGTTTTCACTAGCTTAATATTTACGGGAATAGTCGATTATTTCTATTAAATGTGCAATTTATATAATATCGATTCCATGAACAAAAGAAATGAGATAGATATTTTATTTTGAAAGGCCATGCATTGGCCACATTAAATAACTGATCTTTCTAAAGGCCTAGCTTCACCACAAAAAAAGATGAAACGATAACATATATACCTTGCACAATTATAATTATCGGTAGCAAGATCATGCAGTGCATGTTTACAGTAGGCTATACGTGTAAGAAAAATGTCAAGGATAGTTACTTAACAGAAATATTTTTCAACTTAGCTTTAAATTATTGTTCAGGTAAGGTTATCTATTTCTTTCAACTGGAGGAAGCGAGTTAAAAGCATAGCGCAACCGAAAGAAAACTCAGTAGCATCAAGCATGCATGCATGGGGCAAAATGGGTTATAACCAGCCTAGTTCCAGGCTCTCTCTCTCTATTCGCTGCTTTGATATATTTAAATAAGTCTTAAAAGTTTTATGCCTGGGTGTGGCTGTGCGGAACGCTTCAGCGAGAGAGCCTAGCAGATTTCGATAACATGGTCCCTGATTTCAAAAAAGTGGTCCCTGGCCTGGTTACCGAGCATGCCGCATTTTTAAATAGAAAATGTTATGGAAATTTCCTTTGCGTTTATAATTAAGTAATTAGTATTGCTCTAATGATGTAGGAACAATGAAATAGGTTACGTTTCGCTATAGGTTACGTTACGATTTCCGGTCTCCCCAGCTACTTAAACCTGTCAAGTAGAAAGCGTAGTTGTGTATACCAGTATGGTCTAGTATTGATCACAACTTCCGAGTATATAAATAACATCAACGATTATACGACCATTGCTCAAACTCAGTATCGTCAATTTGTATATATTTTTTTAATTGAGCACATTTTTAATACAGTTTGAATTTGGTTATGTAGACATCGAACATGATCAACGAACATTGTCGTATTTACAAGGTTATTTGTTTATATAAATTTTCAAAAATAAATTAACAAAAAGAGCCAGGATTATAAAAGGATGGTTTAAATATACGATGGATTGTAAAAACTTTCCAGATCATCAGCAGCTGGGAAATTTGTTGCGCATGCGCCAGATTTCCATTGAAACTTGAAGATTTCCCCAAAGAAATAACGTGATGTTCGTGGTTGTTGTATATTATATTAAATATTTTTGAATGTTTGTTTAATCTTTATAATTTTTTGCTCAAGACAAAGACAAAGTAAAATGTACTCTACGTTTCCAGTGTATAAAATATATCGTTTGTGTTTGAACAGCAATAGAATATTATAAACTTGACACAAACAAGAAGACATTTGACACGCTAAATCTGCAGTCATGCCTGCCAATCGTCGCGAGCTTGACAGCCTTGTCAAACGCAAAACAAGTACTAATTTGGGTTTAAACAGAAAGAAGTTCATGTTAATACCACTAACATATATTCTATAGAAATGCGGGTGGTTTAAAATGTTTTCAATTGAATTTTCAAAGCTTTTATCTATCGACATGATAATCAAACTGTGAAAATGCCGGCTTTTGTTGACGCTTGCGAATGCAAAATAACTTCCCGTAAGCAGAGCATTTCTACACAAAACTCTCGCTTAGTCTTCTAATGCACTTGTATGTTCGGTTCTACTAGTTAAACAAGGAAAATGTACAAGAGACACTGGTAAATTATCGTTGTCAAAAAACATTTCAGTGCTGAGGCAGTACAAGCTGTCTGTTTCATTACATTTTACAGTAGTTCGAATGTTTTCGAACTCTTATCTCATACAAGAGCAGTAAACGCACGCATTTCAGAGCGAAATTAGACGCAAAGGGGCAATTTTTCAACAAAATTCATTGTTAAATTATGTTTCCTATGTGCCTTGGGAGCAAAAAATATGATTTTAAATTTGGAGATTTCGGTAATTTTTTTGCAATTTGGCTTGGTATTGCACCCTACCTATCTACTAACTGTGCTGTAAAAGTAATCAAATATACTATTTTTAATTTCCTTTCATTGAAAGGATCTACTATTGTGGACTAAACTAAATTTTAATCAGCATACAAGGCTGCAAACAACAGCCAAGAATTAGCTGGGTAGTTTGCAAACTTTAAAAATAATTGCACCTCAAACTTTGATCCCCAAAAGTAAACAAATGGCCAATACTGCGAACATAATCCAAGTTTTGACCACTAGGGGCAATTTCTAGATGTAAAAAAACTGGTTTAAATTACATATCAAACAAAGGCAAAACAAAATTTGGTATTAATTTTTTGGAGGAATCGTCAAGGTTTTTTGCTATCTACCCACGCTTCTACATCCCCTCCCCCAGGATCTTCTCTATTAGAAAACAGTTTTCTGCAGAAACTATGCTTTTTTATCGGGAAAATTTTTACTTTTCTCAAAAAAATACTTTATAGACACGGAAACCTTAAATATTTAAACAATTTCCATACCTTTTTGGGATTGCAAAAGCAAAATTTGATTCATAATCACACTTTTTAAAATATATGTGACAAAGTTGCTTCGAAATCACTATCACGCAGTAGCATGTTTATTTACCCTCATCCTTTTGACTGAATAAAGTTTATCTTTTTGAGAAGCTATTTGTTTTATAGCTCTTGGTTAGCAGTTTACGTTTATCGGCGATTTTGGCACCCTGCATGAGACCAACAAGTTGTGGTAATCCGCGAATGAAAACTGATATTCGAAGAGCACAAAAGCCAACTCCTAGCTATGTATTAACTTTATCGCCTGAATTTTGAATCAATCCACAATTAAATTGCTGGTAATGTAGATGCTTTCCATACTTGAGATGTTAGTAAGTTTTTCCAACAATTTAATTTCCTTGATCGCCGTCTTAAAAATGCAAAATCATAAGTTGAAATTCCACTCGTGTTGTTTTTTCAAATTTTCGAATTTTTGTAAAATATCGCGTGCGCCAGCAATTTCTCTGCACAGCGACAACAAATTTCCCAGCTGTTCAGATTCAGTAAAATTTCCTTAAACATTTCGCATTGTTGGCGAACGAATAGTCCCGAGTTTAAAGAAATTCCTTAAAAGTGAGAGGCGCTGTCGATAAATTTCCATCCGTCAAAATCACCTGACGTCATTTTTGGCTCAAGTCCCAGGTCGAGTCCTATAAAGGTCGAGTCCTAGCTCGTATCCTGGCTTGTTAAATAGATTAGGTTCCCTCCCATTATAAAGGCAATCTCAACTGCAAAGTTTGCGAGAAATCTATTTGTTGATACTTTTTACTTAGACGCTAATAAGATTGAACTGCTATATACAGTATGAAAATGCACCTATATAAGCAAACAACATATTAATTCTTTTCGTAATTTTTAGGTGTAGAAAATTGGTTTAACCAGTTTCGAAAATCTAGTTATCCAGGCTCATAGATAACGGTAATATCGACAACAAAATTACCGAGTTTCTATTTTAGTGCCGATACCAATTGTATTATACGTCATGTTATTTATACTTAGATTTGAAACACTGATATATATATATATATATATATATATATATATATATATATATATATATATATATATATATATATATATATATATATATATATATATATATAAATATAATGCATGCAAATGCAAGTAAAGTATATATAATAATAAATGTATAGTGTGTATGCAAATGCAAGTAAAGCCGGACAAATTTGAGTTCTTAGCGTTCATATGACTCTTTTTGCATGCATCATGGTCACCACGTATAAAGGCTAAGCTATATTAAATTTTCCTGCATGAATGTATGAAATGGAATGGTTGTACTGCATGATCGGCTTTTGATACATCAACCAAAGGTTCGGTATATTGGTGCTTTTAACTTGAAAACGAAGAAGGTAGCCAATTAATGTGCATGCATGGCCCGCTATAAGGCAACTATAAATATTTTTTGCAAAACGTTTCTGCGTGCTTACGTCTGACATTCAGTGATGATTATTGATGAGCGTATGCCTGTAGTTCACCATGCACATACATGCATAACCGCAAGCCAGCTTTGTTCGTTTGGAAGAGTTATAAAATTATATAGTTATTTTTGGCAGCAAAATCTCAGAGATACACGTTTGATCCTTAATGTTGTTGCCAAATATAGGCATCGAATGATTTAATTTCCATATCCGGCGAGGAACTCGATCTCTTGAACTTACGTTCCGATCCTTGAATTCGATTACGCACAAACTACGTACATGTTACCGATCTTGATATTCAATTTTTTTCTTCAGATACTTTCAGTTTTATGCATGCGTCAAGTGTATATATTTCATGAACCATTATAGGCCATGTAAAGTCGGTATAATGTAAACAAACGCTTTGTTTGACGCGTTCGGTACGCATTCTTGATATGCAATCTTTCTTGTAAACCTTGCTCTAGATTTAGCTAGCACTTGTATATACGCGAGATTTATTATAATACGAATATACAAGAATTCCTGACGCGTTAGTATCATCAAAACAATAAACCATAGTTCACACTGGATCAACATTTGTTTAAAATTCAAAATTTGCCGCGAATTTATCATATAATGATAAATTCGGACGTGTTTAAGAATTTACTCATATAGTAAATTCAAAGGTGGAGCTCATGCTGTTATAAATATATTTCAAGTGTAAAATATCGAAAATGACAAGACGTTGTATGCGTTGATTGATTTATAGTCTAGCTGCATGAATCGCATTAATTGCTTGCTTAGAACTTCGTCCGAAGTAACTCTTCCGGCACACAATATTTATGCGTTTCTACAGATGATGTTAAGAAAATATTTCGTGAATTTTATCTCGCCGTGGCAAATCGTCTGTAACCAATTGTCTGACAGAGACGGTGCCATCTGCATGTGCAATTTTGAATATCGAAATTGTAGCAACGCTATTTACAAGGCGCAGTTATTGCATACAAGGAAAGCCTTCCTATTGTAATATGTGTTTGATTCTCTTCGCAAGAAATTTTTCCATGGCATATGAAACGCTATAAATCGGAAATTCGCGATAATTTCCGAGTATTGTCGAACTGATTACGATTCATTTGTTCTGAATCAGGGAACCTTTCCAAAACGCGTTTTTCATTAGGTTACTTCTGAGCAGTACTGTATATTATACTGATTTTTTAACACTCTTCTGGTTCGCTATCCATCACTTTACATGGTTTTTAAACCACATTCGTAAATAGCCATATATAGTTGATCACTCTTTATATATCGGTTCAAATTTCATTTTTTAACCATATATACAACTTATATCTTCATGCCAGTAAGTATCATATGCATTTATGCCATGAAATGAACTAGAATAATTATATAATTTTTGACAATATGATTTTATATTGCAGCTCGCAGCGCTTTATGTGAATGCACGCGCGTACTGCTGAGACCGTGAATATATATATATATATATATATATATATATATATATATATATATATATATATATATATATATATATATATATATATATATATATATATATATATATATATATATAACAAGTAAAGCTTTTAAAGAGAAATAACATGCATCAAATAGAGGAAGGACTAACTTAGATTTTGATATATTACAGTTGTACTTCACTTAAAAATTTACGGAGATATTAATGTTTAAAATAGGGAGCATATTTCTGGATGTGTCTGAAATATGCAAAAAACGGCGTATCAAATATTAATCAAGATTTTCCCGACTGAAACATGCACGATTACCAGTAAATAAATGACACTTGACAAATTGTTTATTATGAAACAAAGTCTGTATTATTATCTACAAAATACAAGCAAGATTTATTCGTCCGAAATCTGTGTGTGTTCCTGAGACCATGTGTGTGTTCATGAGACCATGTGTGTGTTCATGAGACCACTGCATCGCGAAGGATCATCATGGATCGTTCGTAGTTCTGAATTAGGGCATGCTGTCACAATGGAATTGTGAAGCTCTTCTAACTTCTGCAACGTTCTGAAATCTTGTTAAGAACACTCAAACTCATTTGCCTTTTCTTAATCTTTTTAAGTTCAGAATAAACTGAGAATAAAACACAATCAAACCATTCAACTCCATAAGACATAACAATTAAGCATGCAACTCCCTAGAGACATCCAAAATTTTTGGAACAAAACGTAACAAAATAGTAGCGTTGATACTGTGATGTGTATTTGCAAAAAGCAATATTATTTCCTTCATTGCAGAATAATATTCATCCTGCTATAACAGAGAAATAATCAACTCTGTTTTGAACCCATGAAAAACATAAAAAATTAGGCTAAGAAAAATTTAAGCGCCTGCCTTGCATGGTCTTTCATATACCTTATAAATTTGTAAAGTTTGTAAAGACCTATTAAATACTTGCATAATTTCGTACGTTCATATTTCAGGAAACATTGAGCTAAGACTTACATGTAAGAAGTCTAAATCTACGCCATATCCCTTACAAACCCTAACGAAAATTCGCTGAAATACAAGTTTGCCTGATATGTCATCAAGCAAACAAACGCTGAAGTTAATATTTGATATGCCGATTTTCGCTAATTTTAGACACATCCCAAAATATGCTCCCGATTTTGAACATTAATATCTCCGTGAATTTTTAAGTAAAGTACAACTGTAATATATCAAAATCTAAGTTAGTCCTTCCTCTATTTGATGCATGTTATTTCTCTTTAAAAGGTTTGCTTGCTTAGAAGTTATTACGAATCAAACCGGAGTACTTTTTTTTGGGACACCCGGTAGTTGTATGCATGTTATTTGCAGCAAAATGTTATCCCTTATGAAAATTTCACAATCATATGACTACACATATGAAAGTGGTTTTTCACACGTGAAGTGTTCCAATTCCGCATATCGTTATGTAATTAACGTACAATATACTTTAAATATTCAGGTCAAGAAATAGCTGGTGCCGCATTTGGAGGCACTGTTAGTGCTAGAAGACGGAAGCGTCACGCACTTGCACGGAAGAGCATGAAGAAGGAGATCATTGAATTATTTCCAGGTCGACTTTTTGGTAAAAAAGAAGTAACTACACTACCAAGGAGAACAACTTCAAAAAGTTCTATTAGTGCCAGAGTCAAGATTCCTGTACTAAACACATTCACATTGTGTTTCTGGATCAGAACTAAAGATGATTTTGCTCAAATATTTGCGATAATATACAACAATAGTCGGAATCGAGCTAGAATCGATGTTTCTATTCGAAGGGGAAGATTAGTTTTGGGTTTGGATGGTAAACAGAGGTAATCCATCAATTTCTTCCAAATCCTTCAAAACTTAGAATTTACCTATACATAGTATGAACAATTCCTACTGCGATCACAGCCTTAATTCAAGGTTGCTAGTTTATCAAACTGGTCTGAATTAAAAGAGATTGGATGGCTAATGTATTATTCTCCGGTCGGATATGAAGCTAGATAAAATATGTCCTGATTTCACATTTTTACATATTAAGGTGGCTCCCTACAGTTTTGATTGTCAGCACACAATTGTATTCAAAAAACCATTATTTTATCATCTTGCAAAGTATGATCACGAAACTGGGCCACATAACTGCTACAATATCGCAAATTACGAAAAATAAAAAATGTCGTTAAAAAACCCCGTTGCCATGGTAACAAAGCGATTTTAAAAAGGGCCAATTTGCAGATTCTTTGATAATTTTTTGCACACAGTAATCTTGTCTATAATTCCTTCAAATGGTAGCATTTAAAAAAAATCGTACGAGAATTTTTTTTTAATCCTCAAAAAGCCCTGTTTTCGGAATAAAAAAAATTCGGCTTGTACGATTTTCTTAAAACTTGCACATTTTACGCACTTCAATATTGCAGGAAAGTGTGTGAACTTTTACCGAAGGCAACACGAGAAAAATGCATTTATTTTTATCTATGTGACGTCACAAAAATCAGGGTTTCAATTTCCTTGCGCAACCAGCAAACAATCCCACGAAGGCCAGCGCGTGTATATCACGTCGCAATTTTAAAAAACCCTCCACGCGTGTAACGTCGACCACGCGTGTTGCGTGTGGCACTACTAATCTCGCGCGTGGACAAAATTTCCGCGACACAGACATAAAACTGTAGGGAGCCACCTTAAAGCATTCCATTTAATTTCTTTTTTTATTCCATTCCATAATAATAATTTCTAAGCGATTTTGAAACATTAGAATGGTTACCGTTCAATGGCTTCCTGGTTAATGGATGTTGCAAGCACTCATTTGAAAGCACTCAATATATCCAATCTTATTTTCAGATCAAATGAAAAGTATAATAATGCCCCTCTTAAGCGAACTTATATCAGACTAGACATTCGCACAACAGCGGAGCGAAATAATGGCAGCAGAATTTACGTGTGTTCACACTACGCCGTTACAGTTTGTTTGCAAATTAAATTTTCACTCATGTAAACCAAAAATATTTCAAATAGCGAAGAGAAATTTAAACCAAAAACATGTACTGTTTTGACTTTTGAGACCTCCGTTTTCCTGAAACCAGCGAAGTGTGAACGTTGTCTGAATCACATACCATGCGAGCGTAGCGCAGTAAACTCAAATGAAATATTTTATATTCTCTAGGACTGTGCAAAATTGTGTGCTAAATGACGGCAACTGGCATCACGTTTGTGTTTCACTTCAAAATACCTCGCGACTGTTCATTTATCGGGATGGCAAAAACGTACATAAACTAATCTTCCGATTTTCTAGAGCAAGTCGTGCCAAACACACAGAAGCGAAATTCGCATGGGTTTACCTTGGAAAACGCCCAGGTAGGAAAATTAACAGTTCTTTGTTGGTAGGCCATGCAGTAAAAATTGATCTCCCAATCCAGTAGTAAAATGATTGATCACTCATCGTTAAAATTTCAGCCAAATCGACGTGTCCAGCCAGTGAGCTCCATATATTTCAGGAGCAAGAAGATGGCCGCCATTTCGTAAACAGCTTTTATACCATTTCCCCCAGCTAATTACAGTTTTTCTAACGGACCGTATCGTTAATCAAGTTATCAAGTTCATAAAACCATAGTGTTATTCTTTAAATCGATATCAAGATACGAACTTGCGGCACACTCCTTGCCTAGATGGCGGAAATTGAAGGAGCTATTGGGCGTCAGTTCCAGTTCTTTCTTATTGTTTTTCTACGCGGTCAATTAACACGAAGCTGTATTCATTTTTTGGACTCCAGTTCTTGCTCCAGATATATATGGAGCTCACTGAAACCAGCCTAACACAAGTTAAACTAATTAAAGAATTAAAGTTTTCTCAATTCTAATAGCTGCGGTGTGAGAAACAGTTGTGTGCTGGCTCCTGGTCGTTAGGGGGGGGGGGGGTGACATGTAACCTGAGATCAGGCTCTATTTTACAAATAATAGCCTGACACAATCCTTAATCCGATCGCTTTCCACCCATAGCAAAGTTTATATTTAGTATCCAATCAAAATCTCGCAAGAGAAATTTAAATTTCACACAACGACAACAACAATCTAATTATAGTTGTGATCACTATAAATATATCAACAACAATAGTATAATCTAATTCGCACCAACCAATCAAATGACAGATTAAAAAATCTTTTGTCTCATAAACCAATCAGATTTACAACCGAAATACGGTTGTAAAAACATGGACTTTTGTTAAGGTATGTATATGGCCTATTTATTTATTTATAGGCCTGATCGCAGGTTAGGTCACCTGAAACTTTTCCGCCCAAAATTGGAGAGGAGGGGGTGGGGTGCGGGTAAAATGGACCATTATGGTTTAATTTCACGCGTTTTTGGCGCCCTCAGTACCAGTGTGCACCCGTGAAATCCCTCGTAGAGGGATGCCCTCCGCTCCCTCTGCAAGCACGCCACTGGTGAGAAAAATGCAATTACCTAAAAATATAAGTAAAATTCGACGCTTTGGAAATTATAGATATCCAATCATGGCCTTTCGCTCGAAACGCCAAAGTGGTATTTCTCTCACACAGGCGTTAATCGTTCGAGATTTTATCAATAGAGAGATTAAAATATCCCGGTTCTGTTTTACGGGTACGCATTGTGTCATTTTGTTTACCAATTATGCTGATGTCAGCATATTCACAATAATTTCTACCCGTTTCCCCGCGGTAAACCATGATCTCCACATAAGACAAACGGGAATGGGTGTTTACTATTTCTAGGGCATTTAAATAGTAAAATAGTAACTAAATGAATCAATGCACATTTGCTCGTAAAATTGTTCCCAAATTTATGGTGAACCTCTACAGCAAAAGCTAGTATATATATCCTCGGATCGGCTTTCGTACCTGGGAATATTTTGGATTTCTTAAGTAGTACTGTGTACGTGTATGCACCCGCACCCGTAAACAGGAACTGGGGTACTTTAACCTCTCTAATTCTATTTCATTTTCCAGATACGAAAAAATCTCTCTCTTTAACCGGTGATCTGACCCAGGTGAACATTTGGGATACATATCCTATCTTCCGTATTCAGCGTATATCTACAAACTCAGCTTGTGGCGGTGGTAATGTTGTGCAATGGAAAGACTTCCTCAACGCAATATCAGTGAGAGATGTCCAGTTATATTCTTGTGACGACTGCCCCAAACGCGTGGGCTTTAAATTTGATAAGAAGAAACAAAATAATTTGGTTTGAAATAATTACTGCATAAAGTTAGTTGTAGAATATATAAAACTTAAAAGTGCTTACGTCACGCAATTTTTAAGACAGAAGACTTCAGGAATGAACGGTGCATTGTGGGATACTTTTGGTTCAGTGACTCATTCTTTGAAAATTACGTGAAGTAAGCACTTTTTTAATTAAGCACACAATTTCGGGAGTAATAACCATCTTTATTTACCATCTTTAACAAATGAAATGATACAACTATTATAAATTGTTACAATAAAATAACATTCCCATAATAATTACCATAATATATACTGTATCGTGTTCTATTATATTAGAGAGGTTTGGATTTGAGTTCCTCTACCGCTACCGTTACCATAAAGGAACCATTAACCAATCAGATGCGTTTGATATATCTGATCAACCAATCAGATGCGTGCTTACTAAACCAGTGAGAGGTAGTGTTAGCGACAGTGGAAGTCAAATCTGAACCTTTATGCTAGCACTGAAGGTACACAAATTATGAACTGGAATAATACAGAGACAGCTTCTTATCCACAGCAGGAACTGCTGGGTCCTAATCGGGCAATTAAAACTGTTGCTTGACAATTAAGTGTCTCACTAACAACCATGCGGTGCGTTTTGGGTTGCAAATTTGATTTCCTTTATATTTTTATCATGAGTTACCTTTATCATAAAAAGTTTCAAGCCAACATTAAAATTTTTGAATATTAAATTTTTTTCGAGTTTTGATACGTTTTACTTACTTCAGACGCTGACGAGACTGAAATTCGACCTCGATAAGAGGTCAACTACGCGCCAAATTAAGTTTTGCATCAAATTCCAAACCTTTTCACTCAATTGAAATATTATACTCTTCCTCTTTTTTGGAATATGGAAATACTTGTACTGCACAACTTATTTTAATTATGTCAAGGTTTTGTTAAAACTTGGTTAAAATATCCGCCCCAATGACGCTACGTCACTGCCGGTGAAATGAATATAACGCTACCTTGAGATAAAGTTGTCCATGTTTGCCTGAACTCGCGAGATCAGTTCAGGGTGCGAGTATGTTCGTTGTACTGAAAGAGTGTATTCATTTAAAAGCTGGTAAGGTTTACATTATATCAGGGCAATTGATAAAATGGGAATAGTGCCAATAGTCGGCGAATAGTTCGAATAGTCAGCGAATAGTGCGAATAGTCGGCGAATAGTGCAAATAGTCGGCGAATAGTAGGCGAATAGTCGGTGAACAGTGCGAATAGTCGGCAAATGGTCATAATGTACATAAAATGGAGTTTTCGTAATTGTCAGGTGTCGAGGGTCATAGGTCGGTCTCGAGTGTCGAGGTCGAAAGTAAAAGTCGAAGTCGATAGTCGAAAGTCAAGGGACGAAAATGGAAAATATTCATTTTTATCAATACATTTCTACAATACTACATTATTCGCATTTGTTGTCAAAATTTTAAAGGTTTTCCGGATAACTATACAGTAACTTTATTAATGTTAGTATACAGAACAATGCCTTAGGGCATAATTAGGTTCCTTTTTGTTTTTCGAGAGAGTGTAAAATTACTAAAAATATTCGAGAACGGGGGTGATTCGAAAATATATTGTATTTTATTGTACTATCAGAACGAAAAATTGCAAAAATCGCCGCAAAAATCTCTCACAATGGCCGTGAGATAATTCTGAACCAAACTAAAATCACCCTGTTATAAAGATTCGTACTTCGTGCAAGTTATTTTCGACAGTACAACTCAAGTCTCCATTTTGTTTATACACTACAGCGTTTTGACAACTATATTGTGAATATGAAACTGTCAATCGAGCATGTACACTTCCGGTGCAGACATGTACACACGATGTCATAAATATATTAATATTAACTGTTTCTCGCACCCCCTAACGCTTTGCTGTAAAGCCTCCCCCCCCCCACCCCAGCCAGTAAACCTCCAAACTACACGCGGTATGAGGAGTATCGTTAAGTTGAAGTTCTGAGCAATTTCAGAATTTCATTATAATCAAATTTTTCATGATAGCGAAATGCCATTAATTTTTGTATAATCGCCCATGGTTGTATATTTTAAACTCCAATGTAAAATAAAAAGTGTACAAGCGAAACTTTCAGTTATACGTAGCCATAGCTGAAATGTTTCGGATGTTATGGAAGCTTTGAAAATGGTTATAAAAAATTTAAAAAGGATAAGAATCTAGTATTTTGGATTTTCAACCCTTCACTTTCGACCCTCGACTTTTCACCCTCAATCTCTACTTTCGACCCTCGTCTTCTGATCCTCGACCTTGACTTTTGACCCTCGACAATTTACAGGGAGTACACACTTTGTAAGTTATAAATTGTTTAATAAAAAACAGAAAACAGAAAATTACCAAAAAAAACTTATTCGAAATATTCGTAGACTATTCACGAGTATTCTTCGACTATTCGCACTATTGGCGACTATTCGCACTATTGGCGACTATTTTCACCATTGGCGACTATTCGCACTAAATCGCACTATTCTCCTTTTGTCAATGCCATTATATCAGAGAAGAAACGTCCTTTTTTAATTAAAAAAATAAGGTCCTATATTTAATTTATATTGGTGGCATAACAAAGTTTCATTTTTTCATACAAAGTATGGGAAAAAAAGTGCCTTGAGTAGTTCAAAATACTGAAATAAGCTATTGAAGTAAGTTTCATGTTGCTAAGCAAGACTATATTTTATAATAATTGCTGTACGTTTTAATACATGTATACATCAGTTTACTTCCGTGAAATGGCTTGATAAATAGAATAAGCTAGTTAGTATGAAAAACAAAAAATCACAAAACACGCATTCAAGCCGAAAGTCACCAAGAGAACCTATCACGGCACACTATTTTTGCAAGAGAAAAATACTGATACTCCTTGGAAGTTTTACCTGAATAATTGCATCAGAAAGCTTTGAGTGCTGCTAAAAAGGTTTTTTTTAATATTTTAACCCGATTTTCAAGAACGCATATTCATGTTGATGGATTGACCGCGCAATTCGCACGTGTGAAAAGACCGGGACTGGCCTTCAAATTTTCGGTTGGAGGTACCGTTCCAGTTATATTCATTTCACGGGGTTGGACAAGAGCATCCGGCATCCCTTTGTTGTCATCCCTCTTTGTTTGCTGGTTAAAGCGGAATCGCATGTTCGATTCCTGCCTGATAGTTGCATTTTTCACAACTGCTCTGGGTTAGGTCTAATCAATGTATAAACATTTCACTCGAAATTTCCATCTACAAAAACCTTCAACAATTAGTTATATTGAGTGAGATGCCCCACATCCCGATATTTACATAATACTGTAACATACATATTTTAACTGGTTATATACTTTTAAAGTTTGTTCGTGCACTGTAACAAGGTATATCAATCATGTTTCGCTCGCTACTCTGGTTTAAGTAAATGATTACAAAGCCCAGTTGAATTGTAAATCAAGACCCAACGTTTCGACACTTCAGTCTAGTGTCTTCATGATGTCACCTGCCAATAAGATACATGCACGAGAGGAATACATGAATCTCATTGGCAGGGGACGTCATCCCTTGGGTATTTAAGAAGCCACGATTGCATCTTTAGATCACCCCTGATGAAGACACTAGAATGGAGTGTCGAAACGTTGGGTCTTAATCACAATTCGACTGGGATTTGTAATAATTTATTTTTACAAGAGTAGCGAGCGAAACATGATGGTTATATACTGTAAGTGTACTGAAATACAGCTGATAATATGATAGGCGCCGGCCAGGTGGATCTTGTAGTAAAGTTGCAAGATCAACTTTACACAGACGTACACCGCTGTACTGTTCGTGACGTATTGCAGTCCCCTGTACCTGGTATGTCATGTGATGTTATCTGTTCCAACGGATTTTCAACTAAAATCTGTTTGTCTGCACTATCAACAAATTTTGACTCCGAAGGCTTCAGCAACAACAAAATGTCACGGTCGTCTTTCGTGAGTTCATTTTCTTGATTATTATTTAGTGGTTTGTCTTCAATGTCATTTTCATCTTTCTTGATTGTCATAAAATAACCAAAACTATTGATAATAACAATCATAGCTAAATATACAAATACTATGGGGAAAAACATAAGATCTTTGTCCCCAACACTGTCTGGTAAATTCTCAATAACAGTAATTGCTATGCTGGAATTTCTTGCCGATGAAAGCACTGTAACAGCCAGTTTTGACTTCTTAGGTAGCCGTAGTAGAGAAGCAAGTATGAAGGTAGAAACAAGAAATGACGCAATCACAGCTGTACCAAGAGCTGTTACAGCCACAACGATCCAAGGTGAAAATTTTTGAAGGTCCCCTTTCGCCGTTGCTTGACTAATTTTCACCCAAAACATAACAAGGAGAGCCCCAGAAGTAACAAACTTCAGAGATGTATATAGTTTGGTAACAACCTTTTTTACCAATCCAATAAATCTTAAAAGTCGTCCAACCTGAAGAAATATGATATGCAATGTGTTTATGAATAGAATAATGAAGTAGGTCAGAGCAGATACACATTCTGGGTACTATCCATGACTGATACAAACGAGGATGAACCAAATTTCTATATTATGCCAAACATTTTCATCGTAAATTGGCTGGTGTGTTGGTGGCTTGGTGTCAAAGTGAATGAATGAGAAATTCTGTAATATTTATCTATTTTTGTATACCACTCATACATAGTGGTTAATTAAATGTCTGTTTAAAGTTGTGTTGTTTTCTCTCTGTCGGTCATCGACATGTTGTTTCGTAAGCATTTTAAAATACAAACTATATAGCTAGTAGTAGTATTAGCAAGACAAATTCATCCAAGTAACAAAATATAATGCTGAATATAAAAACAAATAAAACCTTTAAGAGAAAAATCTTTTGTATTTCACGTAACACGCGCTCAAAACTAATGAACTACTTTTGTTATGACTATAATCAACTTTTTATACGTTTCTCAAGCCGGAAACAAATTGAAAAAGTATGTTTAGCGCTTTATCTGTAAAATTATTTTAAAATGAAGAGACTTTAGATGGTAGACCAAAGAGAAAATGATATCTGGAGTTCAGTAAGTTAATTCTGCTTATGTTGTTGTGTAAATATGACGTCAATATTACAGCAATGATAATTGTATTTAAATTGACAATATTAAACTAATATTTAGTGTTTCATAATATTTAGTGATACATTTAAAAATGTCGCTAAATGAGTAAACTAAAAAATAAAGCTAAAACAAAGTAATTTTGAGACGAATCCCGCAAAAAAAGGGGCGTCGTCATTTTCTTGGTGGAGTGTAAGTGAAATTTTGCCGAGTCATTTCTGCTACGTACAGTACTGCCTAGAAATAAGTTGACAAAACCGTGGTTAACCGCGGGACATCCTATGATCGACATCGGGCCGACCTCGGTTCGACCTCGGGTTAACCGCGGTTCGCCCGCAGTTGAACCTCTGATCGCCCGCGGTTACACCGCGATTCAACCGCGGTTGTGTGGGCGAAATGAGGCTTTAAGCAATTCACGGAGGAATCCGAGTGCAAATACTGTATTTTAAAAATCAGAATCAGCAAGATTTTTGCGATTTTAAATGCATTCAGAAGGTTGGAAAGCAATACAATGGGAAAGCTTTGTATTCTTGAAGACGTATTGTGTCTATCTTATTACTCAATCCTCAATTATATCGAGCTATATTATACATGCATTTAAAAAATTATAATTATAAACGAAAGCAACTATGAATAATATATTGAAAAACCTCTTACTTATTATTGTAGCCTGCATGTTAGTCTGATATTCCTGTTCTTCGTAGTCTATCATAACTGCAACCCCTTCTATCCGGCAGTGCATAGCCACCGATACTGTCTTTTAATAAACTTCGTCCCTTGAATGCATGTAAACGTGCTTTTATCTATTTCGAAGTACGCCAACATTCGCGTGGCTATACTAACACGTGTCTTATATCGCAAACTCATTTTAAAATAAATTTTCTTAAACCATCTTCTTTACTCTTTAACTAGATTTCTGGGTTTGCTCTTAGGGGCCGACTACATGGAGCATTTTCAACCTCGGGGTTGAACTCAGCCCTGTTTACCGGGTTGAAATTTCAGCCCTGTCTGTAATACAAAACTCTATCAAACGCGCGATTACATGACAAAATTTTCAACCCAGGGCTGAGTTCAACCCCGGAGTTGAAATGGGGTTGAAATTTCAACCCTGCTTCAGCTAGCATGGTTGAAATTTCAACACCGGGGTTGAACTCAGCCCTGGGTTGAAAATTTTGTCATGTAATCGTTTCAACCCAGGGCTGAAATTATCATGAGTTATTTGAGCATACGTGGTAGTGACTATTTATTACAAGACTACAAAATAAAGGCTTTTTATTTCCAGGAATCGATGCCGAGAACGTATAGTATAGTGTTTCAACCCCGGGGTTGAAATCGTCCATGTAATCGCAAAAAATTTCAACCCGGTTAACAGGGCTGAGTTCAACCCCAGGGTTGAAAGTTCTCCATGTAATCAGCCCCTCCATTATTATACGAGCTAGGTTAATTCCTTTGCTGATGGTCTTGATAATATACATACACGAAGGTATAAGCACAAGTCAAAATGTACAGTATTGTACTATTGTGAAAGGTAAGAATACTTTGCTAAGAAATAATTGTTTATACTGATATACGGTATATATTGTCTGACTTTTACCAGGATGGCAGTATTTGAAGCCTTACAGCTTTTAATCCAGCTATTTGGTGGAAATCGAGAGTTTTTAACCCAAATATTTGCCATTTTGCATATTAATTGTTGTAGATTCATTTTGTTGGCCTTTTGCGGTTTTTGTTTGCTTATTGTCGGTATTTGTTTGCCTTTTTGTCGGCTGTTGTCGGTATTTGTCTGCCTTTTTGTCGGCTTTTGTCGGTAATCAGTACGACCGAAATGACGCATTATTTACCTACAGTATAGCCGCTGGTATATACTGCTTGTACTTGTAGGCTATATGGAACGGTACAACATATGTGATCCATATTGAAGAACCCGCACAAAAGCCTTCTGTGATGGAAACAAATTACCAATCTGATGTATATCTGTTCGAGTTTAAACAATACTTGAATCAGTAAAAGCGCGAGTAAGTCGATTTTCCAAGGCGTTGTAAGTTATTGATAAAATGCATGCCTAATTTCTCAGTACTCGATCGAGCTTTGTTTCAATTTCTTTGTGTAATTTCCCGGATGAATTATATTTTATATGCGTATCAGGTATCAAACTCATATAGCAACTTTATCCAGATTCAAATTACCGTGCATGATCTGTGCCATAAACGTAACATTAAAGCTTGCGCGAGGAAAATTATCATTCAATGTCAATTATCACACAAAGATTACAGAATATTTATCACTCAATATTAAATTAATTAATTAAACATATAAGTGGACAAAATTCATATCAATCCGCTAAACCCGTTTATCATTGATAGTGCTGATAGTTTGGTAGCTTAATAAATTCACTGGGAAAACATTACTTGGCAGTAAAACATTATAATTATTTGATAGTAAAACATTTGCTATCATATTTTTGCCGGCTGAATTGAGTATAACATTACAGCAATTTTGTTTATTTGATGATGAAAAATAACTTATATATTACTTATAACCCACATACAGTGAAATTCATATCACGGGTGCCGGAATACCATACAGAATGTTTTACATAGGGCGTAAAAAAAATATACCTGTGGTTCCGGTTCCCGATCGACCCTATTTTTTTCTGCCGACCCTATTATTTTTTCAACGCGAATGACTGTGCGACCCTATTTTCTCCAGGTGGTTGCGGGCTGCTCATACAGCGTGCCAAAATGGCGTCTGTTGTCACACTAATTATTGAACAAAATTGCCTAAATTCGTCCATAGGAAATATGTATCTCAAGTTAATATTGATGTCGGGACTCTACTGCAATTCTCCCAGCAAAAAAACCCGCCAAAACCATGAAAAAAATATTCAAAAAAAAAATTATTTCCGACCTACCGATCCTAATTTTTTCACGATATGAAACCGGAACTGCGGTCGGTGAAAAAACCGCACGAACCGCAACCGCACGAACAACGACCGAAAACCACACGAACCACAACCGAAGCGCAGTGTTAACTTATTTCTAGGCAATACTGTAAACACAAATTTTCTCGGAATTCTTGTCGAGAGGGAGATGGGGGGGGGGGGGATTAGGTAGAAACCGTTTTAGGTAGAAGTTTGACTTTTCAGAATTTTTACTCTGATATTTCGTTCCTTCCTATCCAATTTATGTTTTGACGACTGGGATAAAACAATTTGCGGACTAACCTCCCCCGGAGCCCCCTTTAACGACGCACCGGCCATGTAAGAATATTTCAGGTTTTTGAATAGCTTTCATCACAAATACGCGACTATAAGCTTAAAGTTCAGTCGCATTTTTCCTGTGCATGATACTTACAATCAAAGGTAAAAGGATATACAAAGCCACTCTGTGTAATATAGTTAGGCTACTAACACTGGCAGTCTGAAATGCTGGTATCAACCATGTAGTCATAACAGGAACTGTAAAGACTGATATAATGGTCGCCATTACTGCAATCAATAATGTCAATGCTCGATTACCATTGGCTGCTGTTACCTACGAAAGAAGAACACGTCATTAAGACTACTACTTGTTAGGAAACAGATTAAGAGTGTTGCGAAAGTTGAGACTGTAATTTCTCCGTATTATTCACCAGAATAACTTGATTATCTATTTATCTTACAATTAACTGAAATTGTAAAATCAACAGTTGCCTTACGGCTCTTTTACCAAGCATCAGCCATGTATATGATGCTAATTGTGTAAGACGGCCTTAACATTAAATTTATCATTTTTTGCTAATTAGTTAACACTTTAACACTACAATCTTTGCCAGAAACTATGGGACAAATAGTGAAACGTCTTAACACCGCTACTATTCAGTTTCCCCCATGTCCCCTGTTCAATGTTGCTGTCATAAAAAAATAATATATCACAAACGAGACGTCTTCTGGCATAGGCCCAACATTGAAACGGGTGTGGGGAGGGAGGGGGGAATATATATCTGCATAAAATGCGTATTGTCTATATAACTTTCTTAAAACTAAATTGTCCAATAGTATAATGGCAAAGATTGTCTGTGGTGTGCGCACTGATCGATCTACAGTTAGGTTAATTAATTCAGTTGGTCGTTATTGTAGTTTAGAAAGTACGCATCGTCGTTTTTAAACTAATATGGTATGGTTTGCTTTCCATAATAGTTCAGTTGCTTGAAACATATTTTTTTCAACTCAGGGGGGGGGGAGGAAATGTGGGAGGGTTGGCTAGGGTACTATCATTACGTTAAAAAAGATTTAACTCTTGTATAGCTATAAATGCGCAACGGTAAAAAATCAATCAAACTTCGTACATGTTTATAAGATTTAAAAGGACAGAAGAACAATCGTTTGTTAAAAATGTAAAGTTTAGATTGCATCTTAGACGTCATGCATCTTGATCATGAATTTCCGGTAAACCTAAAGGTCTCATATTCGAGTATGTCTTCATTGAATGCGCAAGCGATTTTCTCTCAAACTCCAAAACAAAGATCAATTTATCTCATAACCTATAGCCAATGTGGTGATTCGGGTTTAGATAGACAAGAATTTGCCAAATTAATAGTGAATGCGTGGAATGAATGCTGCCGCTCAAATATACTACAGTGGGTAGTAAGTGAAGAAATGCACGAAGACGGTGGCAAGCATTTTCATATGGCAGTCAAACTCGACAAAAAAACAAGATGACTCGCGGTCAGGGATTTCATTGATAGCCAACATGGTATCAAAGTGAACTTTTCAGATAAACACGAAAAATACTTTACTGCGTATACGTACGTAGTCAAAGAGGACGCAGATTATGTCTTATCTGAGAATCACTCAGACCTCACTAATGCCACGGCACCTCGAACGACAAATGCAACTCAAAAACGTAAGACGAATTCTAAGAAACGAGTTGCTAGTAAAAAGAAAAGGAAACGCTTGGCAGTTTACGACGTGGTTCGGATAATCCAGTCGAAAGGCATAAAGTCTCGGGTAGAGCTTATGGCTCTAGCAAGCGAGTGGCAAGAACAGGGGAAAACAGATCTGGCAGAATTGGGTGGCAATCGAGGGCCAAGAGTTGTGAACGAAGCCCTAGAGACAGCGCACGAACTGACACAAGCAGAAAAACGATTGGAAAGAATTAGTAAAACTAGGCTGGAGTTAGTCCAAGAGCAATTCACACAGCCATGCCAAGACAAAGGCGACGGATTATGGCTACGTGCGGCAGTTCAGATATTGGATGGGAATGGTATACCTGTTTCAACATTCGCAAGTGCAGTATACGATGCCCTGCTGCGAGGCCGAGGCAAATATAGAAATATCTATGTTCACGGCCCTGCTAACTGCGGCAAAACCTTTCTTATTTCGCCGTTGAAATCCATCTACGAATGTTTTGTTAATCCAGCCTCGGGGAGTTTTGCGTGGGTTGGCATAGAGGAAGCAGAGGTGGTCTTACTTAATGACCTAAGATGGAAACCCTCCCTTATACCAGGTGTGAGTTTTTGCAGGTCTTAGAGGGTGACACCGTGCAATTTCCTGCCCCCAAATTTTTTTTGAGGAAGGATATTGTGCTAGAAAAGGACACCCCATTTTTTGCGACTAGTGACGCCCCTCTTGCCTTAGTTATGGGAGGGAGTGTGGATAGGGTCAACACTGAAATGATGGATGTTCGTTGGCGTATGTTCAAATTACATCGCCAAATACCAAGAGATGAACAAAAACATATAAAACATTGTGGTTCTTGCTTTGCAAAACTTATCTTAGATAATGTAGAGCACTAGCAAACAACAATTTACTGAACAGGATGAGATAATTGGCTTGATGACATACTTGTCTGTCAACAAATCATTTATAGATCGATGCTCACTGACGGATTTCAGCATAAAATACAATGTTTTATTAGTTTTTTAATCATTAACATTATGTATTTGCTAATTTTTATCACACAATATGTATAAGAGGAGATTTTTTGCAAAGTCGCGTACTTTTTTGGAAAAACGCTCAAAACTTAGCGACCAGGCCTTCGCGAAAAAATGTTGCGCGCCATCTTGGTTTTAAAAGTTTCTCAAAATTTACAAAGAAAAATAACAGAATTTTACTGGATTTTTGGCTGTGTGACGAGGCAAAACATTGTCAAATATAAAGATAACATGGTAAGTGTAATATCGTATTTAATAGCTTCTATTTAAATTATTATTATGTAAATATGCACATGTATTGGACTCAGGAGTGAGCATAATTTAAAGCTATTATAATATTAAACTGATTGAAAGTGACCAGGGACGTAGCGACCGGGTGTGTGTGTGTGGGGGGACACCCCACCCCACCCCCAACTAAGACGATTTGAAAATTTCAGGTAAATCCATGAAAAACTGGCATTATAATAATCAGGTAAAAAATCTTGACAACCCATAACAATAACGGGCAAATAATAGAGGATAGAAATGAGGAAAATAGATGAGGTTTTAATTCTTTATGGCTTCATACGTTGATACGTTCAGAGGTTTCCGTTTTTTCAATGTAGCCAGGCTTTATTTTACGAAAAGAATATGTTGTCTATTTTACTATTTCTATCGGCAAAAAACCCAGAATTTTTTCGCTAAGTGACATGCGCTTCCGGTTTGGCTATTTATACAAGGTCAAGGTACGTGCAAGAAATTATATTAATTTCATCTACTTTTTGATAATAATACAGTGTATTTGAAATACATAGAATTATTTGTTTGCTTAGATTAATACAGCAACAGGAATATGATATCCAGATGTAAATTTTGAACGTCTGTATGTGTGATGCACATGTGTGATGTGTATTGTGTGCCGTGTACTTTTTCATATTTTTACCTATATAGTAGTAGTTCGTTAATAATTCTACACAAATGGCCGATATGGCGATATATACGCAATATTCGTCTAATATTTAAACTACTAAAGAATTGTCTCGTAGATTTGTAACATTGTTGAATAGTTTAGGTTGAATGAGCCGTTACGAGGGCATTGTTTTAGCATTACTGTTCTCTATATTATACGTGTATAAGTCTTTATGCATTATTTATTACACAGTGAACAACGTGAACAACGTCTTGAGACTTGATGTTAACCTAAGTATGTGACTTTTTGTGATTTTTGGGCAAACAAAAACGAGGATTAATGCAGAAACAAATTGGTCTTAAGAACACTTTTAATCCGTTCCTAAAGGTATTGCATCCAGAAACACCAGGAACAAAGCCCAGCATTACACAGCGAATTGTCCGTTTTCTTTAAATATGCGCTGTAGGAGCACAGACGAATGGAAGAATAACGTCAGCCGGCCACAAGGTCTTGAGGCAAAACCCATGTCATGTACGATCGCAGCGGACATTGCTCTTAGGGTGGCCAAGGGGCATGGTCTTTTCAAGTTGGCTTCAGAGCTTTATAAACTATTTCTCTAATCTTTTTTTTCGCGCTTGAAGATACTGAAATCCTTCACGGCGCAGTTCTCGATAAAATATTCTTTATGAAATGCCTGACAAATGAAGTCCACTGTAGGCGACTAGTGATTTAATTGAAAAGCCAGGATTAATTTCCCGTAACTTAAACAATGATCTAAGTATAAATGGCGTCTATCTCGAGGTGTAAATTTTTTGGGCCTTCCTCGTTTTTCCTTGGATATTGATTGCTTTTTGCTGTTACTTCAAATACGACACGCAGTTGATTTTGAAACACCGGCCTTTTCTGAAATTTTTCGAAAGGAATAGATTTTCTTTGCACCAAAATAAATAACATATGCACGCATTTGATCAGTAATATTGCCATGATAAACCATTTTTATTGAATTAATCAGCTTGCATTGACTTACTATACCTGCAAGAGTGCGCGGATGCAATTTATAGTCTCATGACGTGTTGTTATGCAATATGCCTTTATATCCACGTCATCAAGGATAGGCTTAATGCAATTGTTTTCAAGTACTTGTGGGGCTGAGTAACCTTAGTGTAATTCTGAGTCACTGCGAAAGAAACGTAAAATGTTATCAATCGCAACTATATTTCTCCATCATGATGTAATATCTTATTAATATAACCATTGCGCAAATTTATGTAAATTTCCTAACCTTAAAAACAATCGTTTTAAATATAGCAATGACGCTGAAAAAACAACATTTATTCACATATAACAAAATGCTGATAGGCAATGAATAAATTACCCAAACTATAACTGCCTGTTTAACTAAAAAATCATAAAGTAACTTTAACTTGCATTGAAGTTTAGTAGCGACGCATTTACAGACAATCTTTGCCAGAAACTATGGGACAAATAGTGAAACGTCTTAACACCGCTACTGTTCAGTTTCCCCCATGCCCCCTGTTCAATGTTGCTGTCATAAAAAAATAATATATCACAAACGAGACGTCTTCTGGCATAGGCGCAACATTGAAACGGGTGGAGGGAGGGAGGGGGGAATATATATCTGCATAAAATGCGTATTGTCTATAAAACTAAATTGTCCCATAGTATAATGGCAAAGATTGTAGGTGTGTCATTTTATAAGTTTCTGCAAACCCACATTAATATTATGTTTATTCACAAGTGGGACACTGCTGTCACACCATATATGAAGGACATCTAGTCAGTGGCGTAGCCAGTCTACGTTTTGGGTGGCCAAAATTTTTGTAGCATTTCGGTGGCATGCTCTCAGGGCGGAAATTTTTGAATTTCTAGACTCATTAGAACGCTATTTCACGTATTTTAGGACGAGATTTGAAGAAAAGCTACAACCACAAAAAGGCATTTTTAAGTCGCCTATAATGTTAAATCTAAAAATTATTTGTGTAAAACGTTGTATTGTAGACGGAAATACAACAGCAAAATAGCACGATGTCCTCGTTTTTGTAATAAAAAGAATGAACCTCACTTGGTCGCCATATTTGAACTTTGAAGTTGTTTATGACTGCCACTATGCGCGCAAATTCAAGTTCAATTGTGCTTTCAACAACCATAAACATTTTTTACTGGGTACAACTTATATGATACCCATCTATTCTGTTTACCAATAAACAACGTTTATTGGTAAACAGAATAGATGGGTATCATTATTTACACATCGTACCCCCCCCCCCTTAATGGCAGTCCTTCTGCGTATTAGGGGGAAGCAGAGCCCCCTTGCCCTCCCCCTCCCTTGGACACGCCACGACATATAGTGTTTGAGTATGTATCTTCTACTATAAAATCATATAATGTTAAACACTGGGCACCTTAACGCTGACCTTATCTTTTTGAAGTCTTGTTCGACATTTATACTCCACCCCCTCCCTCCCTTTTTCAACAATTGGTAAACATTTAAATTGAACAGAATATTAAATTGAAAGTGGCATCTTAACATTCACCCATTGAGCTCGTATAAGTAAACTGGAACGATAAGTTCGCCGCCATCTTTGAAGCTGGTCATGAGTGTTTTCTGCAGGTAGCTCCAGTTCTTTTTTTACAAAATGCATGCGAAATATACAGCTTAAAAATCGCTAATATTTTCTCATTTTTACTTTTTTCAAGGTATTTATATTTACCCTAGAGCACACTTAGAGAACACAACTTTTATCTAAGGCACATAAAATATGTAAATATTGTTTAACCGCCGAAATATGACACGAACAAAACGAAACTCGGCAAAAAACTGCGCGAAAATTTATGGTTTTTCTGAATTTCTAGACTTTCCAGAAAGAGTTCAGAGACAATTTTATACAATTTATGTAGAAAAATCTTAGATACGGTTGATAATGGATGTCCACAGATCCAGACACGTTCTTTAATAAGTTAAAATTAAGGATTAAATTAGTTAAAATACTTCGTAATTAATTGTGTGTATTTGTTTTCGTATACATATATCTGCGAACAGGTTGTACTTGAGTGCCCGAAATTTGGCTTCACCCAAACATAGGCTTTTATCAAAGGAGTTATCGTTCCAGTACTTATAGTTCAATGCATTCACCTTATCATCTGCTGTGGTGCCGGACGCCAGACTAAACCATTGAACTATAAGTAAACTGGATTACTGGAACGATAACTCCTATGATAAAGGATTTGGGTGAAGGCAAATTTCGAGCGTTCAAGTATAGCCTGTTCGCAGATATGTATACGAAAATATATTAATACTGAATTTTTCACGAAGTATTTTTACTAATTTAATCCTCAATTTTAACTTATTAAAGAATGTGTCTGGATCTGTGGACATCCATTATCAACCGTATCTAAAGGGCCTGTCACACTATTGCGTATCGTACTAGCGTATGCCAGCGTATGAAAAATATCACTCATACGCCGGTATACGCTGACATACGCTAGGGGTACGTAATTATAGGCATAGGTTGTATACGTCTCAAGCACGGTCGCATACGGTGGCATACGCTGGCATATGGCAAGGCAGAAAACTTTTTTTAACCATGTTCAAAAATTTTGTGCCTATCGGACATAGCTAGGCTTTATACGATAAGCATACTCTAGGCACACGCTGAATACGCTAGAGGTACGCCAGATGTACGGTACTCATATGCTGGCATTTCAAAGGATTTTTGTCCGTATGAAAATTATTTCATTAATTTTCATACGCTTCTCATACGTTTCTCTCATACGCAATAGTGTGACTGGCCCTTACGATTTTCCTACATAATTTGTACAAAATTGTCTCCAAACTCTCTCTGGAAAGTCTAAAAACTCAGAAGCTGTTTTGTCTAAAATAATGTACTCTAGGATAAATATAAATGACTTGAAGAAAGTAAAAGTGAGAAAGTTTTAACGATTTTTAAGCTATATTTTTCGCATCCATTTTCAGGTAAATAAAGGACTGTGGCTACCTGCCGAAAACACTCATGGCCGGCTTCAAAGATGGCGGCCAACTTATCGTTCCAGTTTACTTATAGTTCAATGGACTAAACATAATATATAGGCTACAGCTAGGGCGACTTTATACAGGTATATATATATATATATATATATATATATATATATATATATATATATATATATATATATATATATATATATATATATATATATATATATATATATATATATATATATATATATATATTATTATTTATTGAAAGTAATTCAAGAGTTTTGATTGGTTAAGAGCTGTGGATGAAATCGTCATATCCGTTCGGTAGTTGCCCAAATTTGGAGTTATGACATCACCATTGAATATTGAAAACACATATAAGACATTATGACGTAATTTGGTCGTATATTGAAAACACATATACGACATTATGACGTCACACTAATTTATGCTGCTTATATGCCAAAAGCGGGAAAATACAAATGGCTTCCTCAAAGGAAAGGTTCGCGGACCTTGGGGAAGCTGAAATAAAAAAATTGCTGGAAGAAAAAGACTCAGCAAACACAAAAAAAGCTACAAAAGCAAGCAAAGCGATTTTTGAAGAGTATCTACGAGAAAAGAAGCTTGGCCATCCAGAGAATAGCGAAGAACTTGCTTCGGTTCTCAAAAGCTTTTATGCTGATCGAAGTGAGGAAAAAAAGATGAGTCAGAATACACAAAAAATTCGCTGTATAATTTTTACAACTGTCAAATTCACTTTCACGAGTAAAATGTTTGTAAATGTTAAAGGTAATATTTAAATTCGTGTTAGAACAGTTGAAGAACACTTGTTTTCTCGATCATTTGTGTTTTTATACAAATATTCCGTATATTTTCTCGATAATTTGTATTTTTATATAAATATTCTGTATATTTTCTCGATAATTTGTATTTTTATATAAATATTCTGTATATTTTCTCGATAATTTGTATTTTTATATAAATATTCCGTATACTTGAAGTGTAAATGGGGTCAGTAAAATCTGTAGCATTCTTTCAAACGCTTATATTCAGTTGAAATAAATTTGTTTGAATTAATTTGTTTGATTTTGTAATATGACAACAGTTTTAAAAATATCCTTTCCTAGTCTGATTGGCTTATTCAGTCTTGCGAACACTATATTATTGTTCCATTTTCAGTAGCTTGCGTGTTCTTGTTTACAATGCAAGCGTTTACCCTAAGTCCGATATATATACAAATAAATAATAAAACAATTATTGGATTCGGTTCTCGTAGGATATGAGGAATTATTAAGGTCTCGGTTTGTGTTATCTGCCTCAGCCTTCGGCTTCGGCAGATAACACAAACCTCTGCCTTAATAATTCCTCATATCCTACTCGACCTCATTCATTAATTGTTTAACAATTAGACAAATTACATGATTATTCTAATTAATTTGGGAAACAGATATTATTTATCTGATAAATGATATAATATTATTATTTGATTTAATTAAATTAAATTACAGTATAATTATTTGGTAAAATGTGTACTAAAATTACTGAAATTTTCCAGGTCAGTTGTAACAATACCTTTATAGCTTCTGCGGCCAATCATTTAATCAGTTTCTGCTGTGCAAAATGCTTTGACGTTACACTGATATATTTTTGGTCGTGTCAACCGTGTGTACTTAAATTAGTCGAGAACTCTTGTATACCATTATTACCATGCTATAAGATTCATAATAGCAAACAAACATGTACTTACAATTATTATATTGCTGTTGTTTGTGTCGACTTTCAAAACTGTGGTAGGATTTTCATGGCTACGTTTACACTATACTGGATAGCTTTCCGTAGCGACGCGAAAAAGCACTTCTCCGATACGGAAAGTACAACTTTCAGAAGCTGAGCGAAACAACTTCTCTCCGTTGCAATAATTAATTCCTCTGAAAATAGCATACTCGAACAGGGAATTGACATCTCTTCGGCGCCACTCGCTAAAGTCACTTTAGGAGATTCCGGATAGCTGATGCCAACACAAATGGTCAGCTGATTTTCAATCGTTTAAAGGCCCACACAGACAACAAGCGATTCGGCAACGCGACGCGAATTTTCAGTTTTCAAAAACAAATAAAACCGTCAACGGATAAAGATTTTACAAGATATGCAGACCAAATCGCTAAAATTGCTTTAGTGGTTCCGACTATTTCAAAAACATTGAAATATATTAAAGTTAAATGCCATTGAAAACTGGAAATTCGCGTCGCGTTGCCAAATCGCGTCAGGTCTGTATGGGCCTTAATTTAAGGTCCATACAAAACGAACGCGATTCGACAACGCGACGCGAATTTTCAGTTTTTAAAAACAAATAAAACCGTTAACGGATGAAAATTTTACAAGATATACAGATCAAATAGCTAAAATTGCTTAAATGGTTCCGGATATTTGAAAAACATAGAAGAATATTGAAGTCAAATGACATTGAAAATTTGCGTCGCGTTGCCAAATCGCGTCCGGTCTGTATATGGACCTTTAATGCTTGTAAAAATGCCGAACGCGAATTTCGCAAGTCTCATGCAAAAATGTGCTGTATGCATCAGACGAGATCCATCATCTTGAAAAATTAAGATCATATATCCAAAACTTCTCGAACCAGACGAAGCGCAGGCAACGTTTTGGAGGAAAATGGGGTTCGTATTACAGATCCTTTATAAGTTTTCAATCTGTGGAGAAAAGCATTATGAAAAGCTGTACACTCCGCGAACCAATTGTTTTGATTGAAGAATACGCTGTTTCAACTTTTAGTTAATTAAACTGGTGATTCACTCGAAAACCCATCTTAACTATTGCAACTGAAAAATCAGTTACATTTTATATTTGTAAATTGTGTGAGAACATTAAAGGAACATCAATTTAAGGGACCCTGTGAATGGGGCAATAAGCCCTGTAGGGATCACCAGTCATTTATGACAAAGCTAGTAAATAAAATAAATAAATAAATAAAACATTTGTAACGATATTCGTTATCATTATATTACGGGTTGTTGTGAAACAATAACAGAGCGAAACCAGTTGTTGGATAGTTAAATGATATTCAAAATCTCATTAATAATTCATAAAGAAAACAAAAAGAAAAACCATAAGCAAAAGACCGCAAAAATTTGTTTCGAAATCAAGGAGATGGTTTGAAATCTTGCTGATTTTTGTTGAATTATTTTTGTTTTCAAGTTTACCTATGCATGGGAAGAGGTAAATCTGGGAGAGATTTGCACTTTCTTTTTCTTTTCTTTTTTCAATAGAATTGTTTTCATATGAGCGGGAATTGCAAATATTTTGCCATATTTTGGTTTATGGGCTTAGTCTGCTTGGCCGGTTTCGCTTTAATATACCTGTAAATTTGTGTAAAATATCGTGGATCTTTTGTGGAAACGTCAGAACTTTGCTTGACAAAGAATTTGGTTGACAACTGGCAAAAGTTTTTTATCTTAGGGTACGGTGTGAATCTTTTGACTATTAAAAACTTAACACATTCATACTATTTGGCCTATTTGTGGTAAATGTCTGATAGGCAGGAATTAAGAATGCAGGGGGGTTACATTAGCAATTGTCATGTGAATTCAGAATATAGTTAATTTTAAGCTTAATTTGTTTTTACAACTTTACTATTAAAATTTATACTGATATTTTACAGTTCACAGTTGTACTTAGCTTCTATTTAAAGCTTGTAGTTGTTCCATTCTTATTAAGCGTTCAGCTGTGTCTGTGATGTATATAATTTGTTGCTATGTTGGCTGTATGAAGGAAGTTATTCTTACTGTTACACGACTCCTCTCGGGTGATAGCTCAACAGAATAAGATCGATATCACTAATACCAACAACAACGTTTCTTTTATCATGCACATATACATTTTATGATATTGTGCGCCCTCGCGCGTAGCTATTAGGGAGTTTAAGCTTCACGATTGCAGGAGCGGCAAGCGCCAGGTTCGAAATTTCTTGGCAAAATTTTTGTTTAACGTTTTCGTTTCATATTTTTTTCTTGTGTCGACTGAACAATCATGCATTGCAGTTTTAAAACAGAAAGTTCATTTACTCTTTATTGCCCGACACCGTAAAATTTTTGTTTGCCGGGCGTTTGCCGTTTGACGCAAAGCTTAAGCTCTGATAGATGGATACGCTCTGACTAACCACAGTGAACTAATTGACTTATGTTAATTAAATTAGGCTATTGTGCATTGTTCATCAATGGTCCAATGTGACCACCACGTGCAACACTCGTGGATAATTGTAGTATATTATTTCCGTGTATAACGTTACAGTAATCGCTACATTCCACACTTATAATCTAATATCATATCTATAATATCACACTGATTACTTCAATTGAGCTACTCTCCCACACTGTAATTGCTTCAAAAGTCACAACTACGGTGTCTTTACCGACCGTGAGACGAGGATGAATATGGTAATCGTCGATACGCAATGAAATATCATCCGCATAAGCTCTCTGTGGGCAAAACCAAAACCCAGCATGCTCTCCGTCAACTTCCACCTTGGCTTTTTGATTTGGCACCAATGAACGATACTCTCTACGTAAAATAACACCCACGTTAGTTTTACGAATTTTGAAGGTGTGTGTAACGCGCTGTCTAACTTTTAAAGACATGATCTGCCTGACAAAAGGGACATTGGGTTGGTTCTCAAACGCCGTTTTGACTTCGAAAATATCCACTTCATTAGACGTATACCGTTCGTTGTGGACCGCAGTGGATGTAGGTGTCCCGTAATCTAGTTTATCCGTTGTTATCCCTCCTGGATCCTTGCTTCCGTAAAACATGACCACACTAACCATTGTGCCATCGAAAATGGTCTGATTGAATGAAAAAGAACTCTCTTCGAAATTTCGCAGGACTCTGTGGTATCGACGACCAGCTGCTCCTTCGACATAGATACGAACACATTTCGTAAATAAGATGGGATCCAAGATCATGTGACGGTACATGTGCATAGTCCTCTTATTCCGGTTATCGCGTAAGTAAAAAGGAATGCCATTCAAGATTGAACTTGTATTCCGGAGTCCCTTAAAGTCGTGTGTGTAACCAAAATAGTCTTCGAGTCCAGTTCCAGAAATCACCGGAGCTATGGCATTTTCGGTCTCGATGATGACGTCATTTTCTCCGAAGCCACCCGGGGCATTCACAAATAGGTTGATAGCGACCACATGTCCCCACTCGTTTTGAACATGTAGTAACGTGTTGTGTCTCATTGCCACGGACTCGTATCTATTCAGCTGGGCGATAAAATATCCCGTCAAACGTGGATTGTACTCCATGGTGTCCAACTGTTTTGTGTTTATCTGAGTGCAAACCACAGCTGACTGAAATCCACGCGGTCGCTTTATTACAATTTTCGCTGACTTCCAGAATGGCATTTCGTAGTATAAGTGAGCTAGCCAGTCAAGCGCTTCTAGATCCGGTAAATTCAAGTTCTTGCCACGTGAGTAGTAATACCCCCCACTTGGGCAACGGAAGTAATTAGTATGCAAAATCCCCGAAAGTAATTAGTATGCAAAATATGTGACGTAACGTTGCTGGCCCTAACCCTAACCCTTGGCCAGGTAGCGCGACCAATTAACGCGGACAGACCTGGGCCAACTGTGACAGGTAGCGCGACCAATTAACACGGGCAAGCCTGAACCAAATGTGACAGGTAGCGCGACCAATTAGCGCGGGAAAGCCTGGGCCAAATGTGAAAGGCAACGCGACCAAATGTCCGAAACAGTCATTAAGCAGAGCTCGGAATTTTCAGTACAAAAGACAACGCTTGCTATAGCCATATTGCCATTTCGTTGTGAAAGCCGTACGATGGAGTGTCTGCACGGAAAAACCGCATCTTACAATTTATTGGAAGGAATATATGCGAATGCAGTCGCACATGAAGTTCAAAGACTTTGTGTGGAATCCTGTAATGGTTGTCAAGTCGGTCATCCTAGTCAAAGACAACATGACTGCCTCATGATGAACGAAAACGAACGATGGCAAATGTATGGTTTACAAGCGATCGAACGCGTGAATGGTAAGCGTATGGTTTGGAACGAATTCGCTGAGGCAATGAGGGTACTAAAACTGGCGGTTGACAGAGATGTACTCGAACATTTACAGCAACTGGAAAAAGACCCAGATTCTACGTTTGTCGATTCATTGATGGAACTACATCAGAACACTGAGAACCACGAACTACAATGTATACTGAACTATTTGTTTCATTGGAGATTAGAAGACCCGCTCGAGTCAACAGCTGAAGCGTTTTTTTCGTACCCACCGAGTTACATGTATTATGTGAAGGCGACGGGTGAACGATTTAGAAGTATTGAGGCAGATCATAAGAAAGCTTATCAAGGATTCTTGGAGAAAAAACTTGCAGAACAGTTTAACAAACAGTCTTAGTTGTAATATTTTTTGACGCTATCGTCTGTTATTTGTATTAATAAACATGTTTTAAACTTTGCAAATTTGCGTTGTTTATGCGTTGCTAAGTCATTAGGAGGTGTGTAGGTAAATTAAGGCAATACGAATTTGCATAACTAAATGTATCCCGATGGATAGATAGGGATTATTTTTAACGCAGGTGTATACCTTAAAATCAGGCGCGTGGCTTTGCGGGTGCATGCATATATTAACGTACAACATATTTGTACTCAGGCGGGCGGATCGCGCGGGCGGAAAGAGCGGGCTTTGCCGGCAAAAATTACAATATTTCAGTTTTTAAATTTATTTCTTCAAAACGTTTTACAAAATTATGCTTCTAATATATATCGTCACTTGTTTCAGGGGTTTCGCTATCAGATTCTTCATCATAGCTGCTTTCATCATCGTGGCTGCTTTCATCTTCCGTAATCCATTTGGTATGTCTTGGGACTGTTATATGAGAACACAGTTTTAACCTCTTTGTAGTTGATAAATTACTGCGTTGGCCCTGCCTTCTCTTGCTTCCACGCCCTGCTTGTTGTAGTAGGGCTTTTGCTCCTTGTTCGGCAAAGTCTTTAACAACGTCACCTCCGTGAGTCTTTGCAGATTCTCTTACATTTTTTCCTTGGAGTACATCTTGACCCACTTCTGTGGCTGCTTGTAATGCTCTTTTGCCAACAACTTTAGCACCTTGTTTGAATAGAGGAATAGCATATCTCGCAAGGCTCTTGAAAATACCGATCCCGTATCCTCTTTGAAAACGTGCACCATTAAACCCAGCGATGTTTCCGCCACGCTGCTGTCTCAAGAAATGGTCTCTCAGTAGTTTTTCGTCTACAACAAGTGTACCTCTCGGCATGTTGATGTGTTCAGTTCAACTTCACGCAGTCAACTAATCAAATATCACTTTGGTCGCCTATTTTATGGTTAAAAGATTGCCTTTTATCCGTTCTGATATCTATAATTTCGCCTCGACGACAATGTGGACAGCTGGTGATTACATGCGTAAAATCTCCTTTGGACACTTGAAAATCACAGATCATACAGCGACAGCTTTTACAATTCGGATAAAAATCTGTCCATGTGCATACGGGGCACGTACTCAAATGGGAGATGTATATATCTTTGTTACAACTGTTACAAGTTACGTCAGCATCAGATTGTGTATCCTGACGGGACCACTTGTGGGCTAACACAGAAAGGACATGTCCATTTAAGATTAAGCTTTTATCAATTTCCAATTCTGCAAGACCTATTATAAAAATACTCAATCCAGTTGGTTCGGGAATATCTGGATGATAAGGCGTCACGCAATATTTCAGAAGGTCTACAATGTCAGTGCCTCGTATATTATGTCCTCTGTAAACGATTTCTCCTTTTCCATTCCAAGTTAAAATCCCCGTAGAGGTTAAAATAGAATGAAGGATTTCTTCGGCTTCGCGTTCATCATCAACGTCAAGATATTTGAGAATGTCTTCAAGTCTCCACTGTTCAGGAGATGATCGTTTGTCGCTATCCATGATTGGAATGAGGAGATGTCCTTCATACTTTTTATTTTATATTAATTCTGCAAGGCCTTCTAAAAGTGGTCCAAGTACCAATCCCAGAAAGCCGCTTCCCCGCTGAACAAGAATTTCCTTTTTCGTCTTAAAATTTCTATCTCTGTCTGCTAAATCAGTTAGATCTTGTTCGAAAGGTCTGAGTTTGTCCTTTGTTTCTTTAGAGTATGTGAAATTTTCTATACAATGACACAAGCATCGAATTTACTCAGCTGATGTAGAATTAAGAAGAGCTTGCTGTTGAGTTGGATGAGAAGTACATAATAGTTCTACAAATGGTCTGTGTTTCATATAGCTGCTAGTCATCTCTGTTCGGCGGTCAGCAACGGAATGAAGATTTAGTTGGAAATAACACATATATAAGGATCGGCTCGCCCTCTATAGATTAGGTCTAGACAATAGTCTTCATAGTCTTTACTATAGTCTTTCATAGTCTTTACTATAGTCTTTCATAGTCAGGACCATAGTCTTTCATAGTTAGGACTATAGTCTTTCATAGTTAGGACTATAGTCTTTCATAGTCAGGACTATAGTCTTTCATAGTTAGGACTATAGTCTTTCATAGTCAGGACTATAGTCTTTCATAGTTAGGACTATAGTCTTTCATAGTTAGGACTATAGTCTTTCATAGTCAGGACTATAGTCTTTCATAGCCAGGACTATAGTCTTCCATAGTCAGGACTATAGTCTTTCATAGTTAGGACTATAGTCTTTCATAGTCACGACTGTAGTCTTTCATAGTCAGGACTATAGTCTTTCATAGTCTTTACAATAGTCTTCATAAACGCGACAAAACCGTATGGGTGAAATCTCTCTTGGAGAATGCTCAAACGACTATAAGTCCTACTCCTCAACGTATCATTTGGTGTTATGGTCAATGGCAACCGTCCTATTTTGATATGATGAGGATAATGCCTGGAATCGAGTTTAATGAAGGCATCCCCGAAGACATCGACAATGCGGATTACTTGGACGTATCGCAACGGAATTTGATCGTATTGGACGACCTTATGGCTCAATCTGGCAAAGATAAACGTATTTCTGATCTTTTTACGAAAGGAAGTCATCATCGAAATTTGTCTGTCATCTATATTGTCCAAAATATATTTCATCAGGGCAAAGAAATGAGAAATATTAGTCTAAACGCGCATTATATCGTATTGTTCAAGTCACCAAGAGATAAACAACAAATTTCTATACTTGCAAGGCAAATAAATCCCGGCAAAGTACAAGAGTTTATGAGGAGTTATGAAGATGCTACGAGCCGGCCTCACGGATATTTGATGTTGGATTTAAAGCCGACAACAAGTGACCAAGATCGACTCAAGACAAACGTACTTCCCGGCGAGATTGCAAAGTTTTTACACAAACAGTCGTATCGTCAACCACCACTTGCAAACGCAATGTATGATGCCGAACAGAGAATGAAAGAAATCATGGATGCACCACAGCTTAGCGCAGTGGAAAAAAGCAAATTATACTCTGATCAACTAAATCGGTTTTTGACATTCAAAAATAAGATGGATGTTCCGACTCAAGCTCCTGTTCAGACAACTCCACTAGTGCCTGCAGAAATACCACAACCCAATGAATTTGTTGAGATAGCACCACCAGTGCCTGCTACCCCTAAACCTAACTTCCTTACACCACCACCAACAGAAGAGGAACGGCCAAAACTC